AATCAACGGTAATACCTAGCTACTTAAAACTTGCACTTTATAATGATAAAATTAATTGGGCTACAAATCTGAATACTTAAAAAAATTCTAAAAAATCTGATTCAAAAGTTGAAGCTTTTCATGAAAATTTGCTGAATTTTCGCGAGTTTGCACAAAGTTTAGGAATTACATTTTTATGTTTTTTGTTGTAGAATGATACGAAATTAGCGGAAAAATATAAGAATGAAAATTGTTGCATACATTGTGAAAAATTTTCTGTGCCAATACTTTGTTCCGGCAGTGTATGTACATTTAACGTTAAAATTACTTCTCACGTGAAAGTAAGTTATGCAATGAAATAAAAATCAAATACTTAAAATTTCTTTTGTTTTAACTTCAGGAAATAACTAGATATACGATTGAAGAATAAAATAATTTTAGTATCCCAAAAAACGTATTTTAATGAGTCCGATACTGAGTAGTATCGACACTTTTTCCCTGATACTTTTAGAGTATCGATACCATAAGCTCGATGCCAGAATGAGTACTCAGTATCGATACCAAAGTCTGAAATTTCGAACCTTAGTTATGTACAACGGGAGCAATCTACTCAACTCCCCAAGCGTCGTTAGAGACACTTCTGGACTCTCTACCTATACATATGTATATACATGTACATACATATATATATATATGAGTGAAAATGCGGCAGCTAAAAGCTGTAGTATACATAGAAGCTGCGGTAAGAATGATCGATCTAGCTTCATCTAAACTTTTCTTTGTTGTTGAAAGTCAAGCTGCCATCAAAGCCTTATGGTCGGTAAGGAATGTTGAGGAATGCTGCAGATCAAAGCTCTTCGGCAACACATAATCAATCTTTATTGGGTCCCGAGCGAGTGTGTTAGAAAAGTATCTGAGATAGGATTATAGAAACGGTTCTGACCATAAAACCTTCCCTGCGATTTTTGTCTTCACAAGTTGAGGATGAGATCAGAGCATCCAGGAAAACTAGGTGGACTAATTGAGAAACGAGAACACGGAATTTACTAAGGCTCTTAAAGCGAAATGTTAGGCCTCTCATAGAAATACTAACTGGACACTTGACCACTGGTCAGCCAGGTTTGGAACCCCACATAACGAGAAGAAAGAGAAATATGTACACTTAGGTCTTTTTTATGCGGTACATGCGTTCCTCAGAAAGCCGCCTAAAAAATCCGCATAAAAAAGTTCTTTACTTTCATACAAAAGCAGGGATGCGTTCTAGCATTTTCAAAAACCGCATAAATTCACATACTTCATGTAAAAAATTCTAAAAGAACCGCATAAAAAGATCCAGAAAGGCAATATTAAGCAAAAAAAAAAAAACACAATTTATTTCTTCACTTCAACACTTATTCTTCCATGCAAAAGTGAATGGTGGCAGAAATAATAAACCCGTCGTACTTTGAAGAGTTTTGGCTATATTTCTTTAGTTTATTTTATTTTTAATATTTTTTTATAAATGCCCAGGTACAACAACCATCATATAAATCCGTCTTTGAAACTTTGGGCAAAAATTATAAAAGTTCGACAAATCTTCAAACTTTTTACTCAGAATTTTTAGAAAAATTTTTAGTATGCCATTTTGTAGCCCATTCAATTTTAGTATCATAAAGTGCAAGTTTCATTTCGCTAAAAAATACCGTTGATTTTTAACACGTTCGCTACCAAGCGTATTTAAGCATTGCGTCATCACAGACCAGGTATAATTTTATTTGTTTTTGTCTAGTGTAGTGGGTTTTGGTTGTCATTGGGTATTTCAGAAACTGAAATTCATAATAAAAGTAATTGTTTTAAGCCTGACACATATTTGTGACGCTGGTCTATACAGAAATTTGGTGAAAATTTGTCGAATTTTTATAATTTCTATACAAAGTTTGAAAAGTGGATTTATTTGGTTTTTGTTGTATAACTAGCCAGGCTAAAAAAATATTAAACATAAAATAAACCAAAGAAATATAGCCAAAACTCTTCAAAGTAAGGCGAGTCTATTATATCTGCCGCCACTGTATATCTGCTACAGTCGTATCTTCCGAGGGATCATTCAACGAGCTTAAATTGATCAAATCTGAATTGAGATCAACAATGTCAAAGTAAACCAAAAAATAGTGCAATTATTTTATTCGAAACTGAAAGTATATGCTTCCGACGTACATTTCTTTAGGCGTTTTACAGTTTTGTCCTTATGGGGTCAGGGTTGAGAAAAATGTTAAACAAACCAAGTAAGAAAGTCTAAGTTCGGGTGGAGCCGAGAACATTAAATACCCGGCGCAAGTGTTTAATATATGATTTTCACGAAATTTTCCGAAAGCTCCGCTACATGGTAAGCCGGGGCTATCGATTTTGAGTAAATTAGCGTCCTTGAGTTTGGTACAAATTGGTAGAACGGTTACCGAGATACATATATGTGATCATAAGTGGGCGGTGCCACGCCCATTTTCCAAAATTTTACCATAAACGTATTTCTTGGTAAAGAATTGTTGCAAGCACCAATTTTGAATAAATTAGCTTTAATATTCACTGATTTATCGAAGTTTTCGTATTTCTTTAAATTACCGTTATATGGGATGTGGGCGGGGTTATTTTCCGATTTTAAAAAATTTCGGCCATTTGGTGTGCTTTAGCAAGGCTAACAACTGTGCCAAGGTTGGAAGAAATTGGTGCAGCGGTTACCAAGATATACACATGTAACCATAAGTGGGCGTGGCTACGCCCATTTTCCAAAAATTTATAATATTCTTATTTTTCGTCTAAAAATTATTGTAAATATCAATTTTGAGTGAATAATCTTCAGTAGTTACTAAAATATCGTAGTTCTCGTATTTCTGAAAATTACCGTTAGGAGGTAGGCGTGGTTATTGTCCGATTTTGCCCATTTTCAATACCATCGCCGCTTAATCGATTTCTCTCTTCATTCTGATCATTTATGTATTATATCTATCTCGATTCGTTTTGCCTGTTACAAACAACCGTTATGTGAACAAAGTTATAATACCCTTGTGCACAGATGCGCTCGGGTATAATAATTTAATTACAGGGAATCCTTAATAAATATAAATAATAATTAATAAATATAAATATAAATATATAATAATAAAAGGTTAAAGAATAACACTTAGAAAAAAAAACAAATACAAGAATGGAAGTAAAGATGAGTACGTACCTAGATAAAGAAAAGAATAAAGGCAAAGGTAAAAATAAAAACAAGAGCAAGGATTCGTAAAGATAAAAGTAAAAATGAAGGCCAAGGTAAATTTAAACAATTTACTTATATGTATAATGGCAAAGGTGAAGGTGAATATATATATGAAGAAAATGATAAACATAAAAGTAAAAACAAAGATAAGTATAAAGAAAAAGATGAGGATGAGGATAGAGGAAGAAAGATTAAAATACAGGTAATAATAGAGAAAAAGATATAGATAGAGACACAGACTCAATCTGTGAACAATTTTACGATATTGGAGATTTTCGTTATTTTCGGGACTTATCGATATAATAATCGATATTTTTATCGGTATTGTTATCGATAGTTTTATCGATGTTGTCATCGAAATTTTTATCGATATTGTTATTGATTTTACTTTCGATATATTCGGAAATTATGGTTATAATAATCGATATTTTTACCGATTTTGTTATCGATATTGTTATTGATTATCTATCGATTTTGTTATCGATTATTTATAAATTTTGTTATCGATATTTTTATCGATTTTCTAATCGATTATTTAATGATTTTGTTATCGATATTTTTATCATTTTCTAAACGATTTTGCGACTAATATTGTTATCGATTTTGCTATCGAATTATTTATCGAATTTGTCATCGATTTTGTTATTCTTTTTTTATCGATTATTTATCGATGATTTACCGATTTTGTTATCGATTTTGTTATCTATTATTTATCGATTATTTATCGGTTTTGTTATAGATTATTTATAGATTTTTTTATCGATTTTATTATTGATATTTTTATTGATTTAGTTATAAATATTTTTATCGAGTTCGTAATCGATATAATTATCGATTTTCTAATTGATTTGATGTTAGATTATTTAGCGAATTTGTTACCGATATTTTTATCAATTTCGTTATCGATGTTTTTATCGACATTTTTATCGATTTTCTAATCGATTTTGCTACCATTATTATTATCGACTTTCCTATCGAATTTGTAATTGACTCTGTTATCGATATATTTATAGGTTTTGTTATTGTTTTTGTTATCGATAGAGTATAAAAATAAAAATGAGGATAAAGGAAATCAGAATAACATAAATGTAATTAGAACGAATAGGGGTAGCTGCAGGGATGTAGATAGAAAAAAGACCAAAAATATAACCTTAAGCAAAAGCAGATGTATGTATGCATGCACATACATATGTATGTATGTACGTATATTGGTTATGAGGCAAAATGGATATGTAACGTAAGTTTCACTTCTCCAGTGTGGCCCAGGCGCACTTACTTTTTTTATTGTATTTAGCTTCTACTCATGAAAATATTGAGGTTGGCTTAAGATTAAACTTTTGGTGTAGGTGCAGCAAACTGTTTTTTTTTTTGTTTGAGTTAAAGCTTTCCGTATTTATTGTTCACCACTCATTAATTGCCAAACCCAAGAACGGTGGGAAAAAGTGGCAGCGGGATTACAAAACGCGTTTTTAGATATTCGACAATGACTGATGAGCGTAAGTAAAGCTCTAACAGTACAGACAAAGCAAACTTTTGTATTTTTATTAAGTTATGTATGTATGTATATGCACATATGTATGTATGTATGTAGCAAAGTTGTGCTGCTGCCTACACTTGTTTTCTATCTACATATGTATGAGGCGCGACGATCGTGATCGCGCTTTAGACTTAGTATGGACAATAGGGTGCACACGTAGGGGAAAGAGGGGAGTAGGTTTGGGGCCCACTTTGCTTTCTGAATGCGACGCTTTGTGCTGAGGTCGAAAGCTGTTCCAGCTATAAAGTGAACGATCAGTTCGCTTTGAGCATTGCTACGCGTTGGACGCGATCTTCGGAAAATTGTGATTCCTAAACGAAAAACGAAACGACTGATACACCACTACATACAACAAGATATTAACAAGTAAACGACTAAATAAAAAATAGCCACATAAAAAGAGAGAAAAAAGTGCAAAAAAATACCGAAAACACTGAATATTTTGATCGAGACAGTTTCAGATTCTGTGCTTGCGTGTTTTAGTTGAGATTTTGCGTGGAATAAAAACTGTGTGCTAGTGATTTCGAGTTAGCTATTTAACATATTTTTCGCATTTTGTATTAAAACAATTGACGTGTGTGCTGCTTAATTTTGTGCGAAACGTAAATACACATCATCTGTGATTTATAGAAGTAATAACATTTTTTACATTTACTAATTTGTGCCCAGTTAAGTATTTGGACCTGCGGGTTTTAAAAATTTATTAAAATGGTCTCGAAAGGTAGCAAAAAGAAACAGCAGCAAGTAAGTGGAAGTAAAAATGCTGCAAGCAGCAGCAAAATCACATCTAGATCCTCGACAACTATGCAACGTACTGCAGGCGTTGGCACAGACTCAGCATCAAACAGCAAGTCTGTGTTAGAAGTCACTCCGTCATCGTCGAACTCGACTCAATCGCCTACGTGGACCAAAACTTCACAGCAGGTACAAAAATCCGAATCGACAGCGAGCAGCGAATCAATGCATGCAACCACACACGCAGGCACGCAGTCGCAAACGCAATTATTCAAGAGCAGCAGTAGCAGCACGAGTCACATTGAGTCGAGGTCAGAGCAAATTGGGCAAAAGGAACAAGAAATATTTCAGATTGGCAGCGCCGATATAACACCACTGGTTTCCACAATGACCGACACATTAAAATCGACGAAAGCATCATCATCATCATCCTCATTTCAGCAGAAATCAGAATTTTATGAAGAGATCTCGGGCGATTACTCGAATTCAAAAATTATATCCTCCATCGATCTGCTTGAAAGTGATAGAAAAGAGCCTGTTTTCTCGGTGCCGATCGATGTCGTTGAGATTATAGGGGGCAGTAGTTCCAGCGTGGGCAGTTTAAACAAAGCGTACTCCTCCTCTTCCCAGTCACAAACCGGCGTGATGTCCAGCATCAGCAGTTCCAACGTAGCACAAATGCATTCCGCCAACAGTAGCAGTAAGGTCATTGACGGTGGAATTATGATCAGCGACATGTCTACGGAAAACTCGAAGTCGTCCTTGTCTATGTCGAGAACAGAAAAGTCGGGCAAAGTCACATCCAGTAATGTTGAAATGACATCATCGTCAAACAAGTTTTCAGCGAATGATGTGAGCAGCAGTAGCACCGCAATCAACAGCCACACGTCGTACTCGACGATTGATGGTCGTGCCATTAATGGTGACACAACACCAGCAATAGCGCCGCCAATTACATCGCCTACAACAGGCAAGAAGACTTCAATGGCATACACAAAAGATACACAGAGGGCAGTCGATGACGTCTCCAATTCCACCAGCGCTGCCGCAAGTCAGAGCTACTCAAGCGAAGCTAATACGTCACTGAGTAACACAGCGAAAACTATGAAGAGTGACGTCGTAAGTAGCCAGCAATTGGCTTCCAAAAAGTCAACAAAAACGTCCTCCGTTACAGAGCAAAATATATCTGAGGAAACAATCGAACTAAGCTCGCTGAAGAAAAGTAAATCAACTTCAAAGAAAGAGGTGTACGATGTAAAAACCAAGAGATGGACAGAGCTCAACGAAAAGACCGGCACTAGCGTTTCCAACAAAAAGCATCCAACCATTGAACGTTACGTTAGCCGCGAATCCGATGGCACATACAAAATTACTTACAAGAAGAAAATATTCGATCAGCGTGCAAACAAGTGGAAAATCATTGAAGAGAAGACGGTGGACAGTGCTCATGACACTCATTACCCCGAAATAGTTGATGATGTCATCAATACGACGACTACAACGTACACAACAAAAGTGTATGACACCAAGACCGGAGAGTGGAAAATCGTTGAAGAGAAATCTTTTGTGGACGCAAAAGCTTTTGTGCCAAACGACATTGTTCGTGAAATCGAAAAAGACAATACAGATGTGGCGAATATAACAACGACAACCGAAGTAACTAAGGTAATTACCGTACACAGTTTGCCTTTACCCAGACATATTAGGGTAGTCATAGATTGTTTGATTTCTAATATAAGCTAATCGCTAACCAAAATATTGTGATTAACTACAAAAGGAATATTCATGATAAAAACGTAACAAGGCAAAACCATTGAGAATCGGGCTGGCATTTTCCAGCAATATAATTTAAAAATTCAACACTCAAACTCTCGTTTTCAATCTCAAACAACAATAATTGTGAACAATTTAATTTTCTTTATTTTTAATTTTATATGATTTTAAAATGCTTGCAAACGTCGGAAAAAAATCAGGGCCCACGAATTGAGAGAATGAATTTACCTTTCAATGTTTTTATTATGGAATATTATGGCCTTGTCAGAACGGGTACTTTGCGTACGTTCCGTTCAAGGATGAAACTGACAATTGCGTAGACTATGTGTGTTTTCATAGGGAGCGTCAGATTGGCAGCTCTTGCGTCGACGGACTCAACGAACGTTGGACAACACTTAACTTTTGACGCACGTATGTATGTCCGTCACTGCTGACAGTTGTATAAACTTGCGTTTCCACAAGACAATACAAATGGGAATATGCATTAATTGTCACATTGTTTGAGTAAAGTAGAGAGTTTATTGCCTAACTCTATTTTAAAAGCCAGAGGCAGTGACGAAGCCACCATGAGAAGTATGAATATATTAGTAAAAAAAGTGTGAATGTTTTGCTATTGTATCCGCCAAATTTACTTATGTAAACACAAAGTACGCGTACAGCTGACTTTGGTTTGCAGACGCAACACCTTCATTGTGGCGTATCTCTACGTTACGTTCGCCACTTCCTTCGCATACTCTTCCGTTATTGAAGTAAAAGTACCCATTCTGACGCGACTTTTAATCAGTCGCGGGAAACCACACAGCTTTTTTTTAATGTCGTCGGTAGGTGGGTCTGGTTAAATACACCGACCACCTTTTTTTTGTGTGCAGGTTGGTCTCTGCAAAAGGTGTTCAGCCCACCTTCTTTCGGAACACAGAAAGGAGAATTCTACTTAGTGAGGGTTATAATCCCTAAGTGCGGCCGATGGCCGCCTACGCAGAAAGGTGTTCTCTGCAAAAGAATTTTCACTTAGTAGTAGAAAATTATCACTCAAAATATCAGTTAGTAAAAAAAAATGCTCCCAAATTCTCCCTTAAGTCGAGAAACTTGCAAATTTCTGCACGAACGCAAATTTGCAGGAACTTGCAAGTTGCCAGCTAGTGTCCACGGTTGCATTTCAAACATAAGAAATTTGTACAGAATTTTTAAAATTCTTTCAGAGGGCAAAAAACAGGATCTACATGTATATTTCTTGCTAGTCCGACTTTCTTCAACATACGTTTGAATTTCTTTGCCGTACTAACTCTCGCGTTTCCTATATCGACTCTGGTTGAGATTGCATTGCGAGTACGTTTCAAATCATTGGAATTAACTAAATTAATTAAGTAAACAAGTCTTTACTTAAATTTTTCATTTTAAAATCGCTCAAGTTTGTAAATTTTTAAATTTGACGAACCTGTTTATTCATGTGCCACAATCGTATGTTTTTCCTTATTGCAAATTCTTGCTGGAAATTTTTTTTCCAGCTTGAATTTGGAACTTCTCTCCAAGAAATTTATGTGAAATTTAGTTGAAACAGTTTAGCCGTTCTTAGCCGGTTTTTTTTGCCAATTTAGCCGGTTGGTCCAAAAGTTCTGGCAACACTGATCACAAATTGGAGGAGAAGCTCCCGCCCAGAACGAATCTAAATCGAGCGGGTGTCAGCTGTCGATAATCTTGAAATTATTAGCGAAGTGGTTCGAAATTTGCCGAATTTGAACTAGTTTTCTTGCTGATTATTTTCCTAATTTTCTCTGCAGGTGAACGAGAACTGTTTAATAACTTCACTCAGAGCGAATGAATGTTGACTTGATTTTTTTCTCACCGCTAGCAATTGAAAGCTCAACAATAGAGAACAGTACTCAATTTAATACATATTTAGACGTACATACATATGTGTATTAGTACGCATAGCAGTGTTGCCACAACAAAATTACCAATTTCCTCAAAAACGAACGAAAAATCCTCAAAATCCGAACAAATTACTCAAAATTTTCTGTTTACAGACATGAGTATTGTGTACTGCATACTATTTACAGGCACTTAGTATAAAAAGTAATTAAATTCTCCAATTCAATTGGTACATTTGTTCTTGCGGTTCAAACAAAGTATCACCGTTTTTTTTTTATGCCTTGATTTGTATATCGTCGTTTAAAGTACAAAACCGCGTATCGTCATTCTGCAAAACCGCGTAACTGACATTGGCTGCCAAAAATTGGATTTGCTTACATAAGCTCTTGGCTCAATCCTTATCCATTCGTCCTGAAATATACTAGGCAAATACGCGATTGCTTTATAAAAAAGAGAACCATTTTAAAATATGAGTATTTTTACGCTCTAGAAAATAATTTCTACAACTTCACATACGCGGTTTTGCATTTTGCTGATACGCGGTTTCGCACTTTAAACGACGATATAATATTGTTGCAACTATATCGGTGCTCAATCTGTTCCTCAGGTCAGTCCTACACATTTTTAAACTACTAAATATACGTTCTACTGAAGCATTAGAAAAGGGATATATGTATTAGCAATGCAGATATAACTTTTTTTAATTGGGAAACTTATATGAACCTGAAGAATCTTTTAATTCAAAAACCTTTTTCCTATAATTTTCTGGATCTAATGAAGAATCAATATGAATATCCTTATTATCGAACAATGCGTGTTCTCTCCATTCGTTACCGAGATTTTACAAGTTCAAATACATAAGTTGAAAATACAACGATGGAATGAAAAAAATTATCGATACCATCTTGAATATTTAGCAGCAAATGCAGATGTGCTTAAGAGCGAAAAACACCACACAAGGGGCTTGGCACACCAAGCGAAATATCCCTTTCCTTAAAGCTATTTATGTTGTGTATGGGGGTGTTTGAAGATTTGACATGCCGTTTGAGAGAAATGTGAAGAAAAATAAAAATTGTTTGCCTCATTCGCAACGGAAGTATTACTGAATGAGGACGCAAGAGAGAAAAATCGAAGAAAACCAAACCCTTTTACATTGTAAACCGGAAGAAAACTAACATTCTTTGCTTAAACAAGTCATGTTTGCATGGTGTATGGCGAAATAGGAAAATTAGGTTTGAATAATGTTTGACAAGCTGCTTGTGCAGTGTATTTCGCTCTTAATAAAACTTCTGAAAGCTTTTTGTTCAAAAATTTGCAGAGCGATTTAAAAATTCTCTTATGTAAGACATGGTTGCTTTTGTTATCTGCAAATATATCTAGAAAAAATTCCTAAAAAAATACTCAAGCACACCCAAAATTCCTCACGTTTTGAGGAATTACTCACAAATTGACAACACTGACGCATATACAGTGGTGGAAGAAATAATAGAAACTTTTTACTTTGACCAGTTTTGGCTATATTACTTTGTTTATTCGATGGTTAATATTTTTGTATAAAAGTCTGGCGCAACGATAACACACACCAAATAAATCCACATTTCAAAGTTTGTACAAAAATTATAAAAATTCAACAAATTTTATCAAAATCCCCCAAATATTTAAAACTTTTCAATCAGATTTTTTTGAAAATGGAAATGCCTAGCAGCGTCAGCAAAAAAAAATATTAAAAATCAATGCGATTTTCTGGCGTCTTGCGGTTTGCACTTTTACCTCCTAAAATTTAATGGGCTATAAAACTGCATACCCAAAATTTTTCAGAAAAATCTGATTAAAAAGTTTGAAATTTTAGGGGGATTTTGTTAAAATTTTATGAATTTTTATAATTTTTGTACAAACTTTGAAATATGGATTTATATAGTGTATGTTATATATTGCGCTAGACCTTTATACAAAAACATTAAACATCGAATAAACAAAGTAATATAGCCAAAACTGGTCAAAGTAAAAAGTTTCTATTATTTCTTCCACCACTGTATATTTATTCATACATTCCATGTTAAGAAGCTCCNAAAGTTTCTATTATTTCTTCCACCACTGTATATTTATTCATACATTCCATCGCATGTTAAGAAGCTCGCTGCGGACTTTATCTCTCACCTTGTCGGTGTTTAAAGAGTTCACAGTCATCGGCATTTACTTAAACGTTTTTGCTTGTTTTATAAATTGCTATGGATGTATGGATTTACATACATATGTACATATAATTATGCATGTACGAATGTACATATACGTAAATATTGTCATGCTTTTTAGTCATAAAGGCAGTAAAAGGGTTTTGGTAATTTTGAGACAACAATGAGACTGTGAATAAAAATACTAAAATTGTACAAGTGACACAACTCAAAATTTGGCATTTTTGAAATTATGCACTAAAAATGTCTGGAGTAAATTTTTGTTATAATTTGTTGAAAAACCCCAAGGTAAAGTCCCTCTTGCCCATATGATTAGCATGTAAAAAAAAGTTTGTTTTCAGATTTTCTGGTGAACATGTAATTTTGATTTGTGTCACTTTTGAACATCATGTACGATATGTACTTTTTAATTTCCTTAAAAATTTAATAAAATGTATGAGTATGACTAAAACCATTCAATCTTAATGTAATCGACTTTATGCTAAAATTTGTTATGAAAACTTCATGGAATTTTTAATACTTAACTCAAACATTTTTTGAATAGGTTATTTCTTCTTAGTTTCACGAAAGCAATTGAAGTGAAAAATGGTTTTCTACATACATACATGAATTGCTGGTGAAACCGGATTCATTCACATTTTATTGAAAATATCTCTGGGACTAAACTAAAAATGCCAGTAAAGTCTCTCATATTTTAACTTTATTAAAAAAAGCATTTACAAAATGTTATTCAAAAACATAAACGTTCACTTAAAAATAACTTAGCATAGNAAAATGTCTGGAGTAAATTTTTGTTATAATTTGTTGAAAAACCCCAAGGTAAAGTCCCTC